TCGGCGGCATCAACGTGCACGTTGATTCTGTTGAAAACTGTCGATACAAAGTTGCAGGGGATGCGTGTATCCAACGCCTCGGGATATCTAAGGTGTATAGAAAATTTTACACGGGTGTATCGCGGGAAATTACCGTGTTCCGCGTTACGAAGTGAAAATCGCGTTGTGTCGTGGAATCATAATTGAAAACTAAACTCGACGAAATCTCAAATTATACGTCGCTGGAGTTTTGAGGTTAGTTCTCATTATCCGTCCAGACAGCGGCAAACAGGAGTCGGTCAATCTTCCATCAAAATGTGTCTTGTATTTGTATATTGAGAAAAAACGTTTGATATACATGTCTAATCGCATAGTGAAAAAATTATTGTCAAAAGCACCATTTTCTGTCGTAAGTGTTACTGTATTGTTAGGAAGGTTGGATAATGATTAGTTAATTAGTTAAAAAGTTAAGTTAAGAAGTTAAGAAGTTGATAACTAAATCAAGTTTGATTTTTAATTTAATCTAATTATTTTAAAATGTATTAACTTCAACTTTATTATCTTTTCCTTTTTTTATAAGTTAAAATAATTCATCAATATTAAAATCATTGAGCGAACTGCTCATAATATAGAGAATATGAGAAATCAGAAATAATCATAATCTAAATTGCTACACAGAAAGAATATTACAACTTTTTTTTCATATAAATTCTTTTCAATTTTACTGTGTTTTTATAGTAGCGCATAATATATTTTATTAATGAACATAAATTTCGTTTGAAATACATCAAAATTTTTAATAGCGCAGTTCCTGAAATATAAATAGCACATATGAAATGAAAGGATAGTCAATTACTGCAGAACATCAATTTATTTTTTAGTTACAAAATTCTATAATAATTTCTGCTATAAAATTCTCTTCTTGTACTACTATTTTTCTCCTTAAATTACAGGAAGATATGGTTGGCGCCAGAAATGTGTGTTATATAAATAGCTATATAATATTAGTGTTATATAATATTACATTTATAAAATAATATAATATAATATATAAAATTATAACTTTATCTTTAATGAGATTAACTCTGTTTTCTTCTTTTGGTGTACATTTGCACTACCCGCCATCGTCACAACTCAATCATTCCAATACAAAAACGTTGAAGAATGCTTTGACGGAGGATTGAAGAACTTCTGTCTGACGTTGTCTAGATAGTGAGAATCAATCTTTACTCACCTTGCTCTGTTATTAAAAGACTCGGTAAAAGGAGTTGTGAACGCGGAGTTGTAATGTTATATCTCTTCCTCTCTTTAGAATATCAGCAACTCATACACGCACAACAACATTGTACATCGAGATAGGAAGAATATTACGTAATAGTGACATAATTCTTAACAGCATCATGCGTATCGGGAAGCCAATCGATCGTTTGCGATGTAAAGCTTCGCGCATGGAAAAAGCGTGTATGTACGATCAGGTGCATTACAAGAGGAGCACGACGACCGAGGGATCGAAGAGCACAGGTTAGATTAAGGCAATGGGGTCGCGTGCCGTCAGTAAGTGCGGGACGGTTGTGTATGTAAATGTTGGAAGATCGTAACTTTCGACGTCTATCGATCAAGAAGCGCTGAGAGATTATTTTCGCGCGCGACAGGCGACGTGGCTTCGCGAGGTGAAACGCACAACTTTATAATAAGACGTTCCTCTGCCTCTTCTTTTTTATTTTATTTTACGTTTTTTTCTCTAATTGTGCGTAACGCGCGCCAGCCGAGCGCATACCATCGACGTTGTATCGATACGCGGATGTAATCGGCAGAGACAGGAACTGTGAGTTTGATAGAGAGGTTGTTGACATATAATAAAAAAAAAAAAATACCGCGTCACGCAGAACTACCGATCCTATCGCAAAATAACTCCGTTCTACAGGGTAAACTAATAACTATTATTAGCATATCGAATGTCTTAATATCTATAAAAAATAAGATAAACAGGATGAAAAGGATAGGGGGAGAAAAAATAAGATAAGACATTATCGAGGCTCTATATGATTGAACAATTGAAAAAAATTTGATAAAAAAGATTTCTCATCAAGATCTCACATATAGTTTACAGAAGATAAAAATAGAAATTAAAAACAATACACGCCAGCCTCAAGAAACACGTACAAAAAGTACCAACTTTAGTCGCTAATATCTCAACCCTGACATGGCTAATCTCTTTCTAATGACACGAGCAGTTACAAAACATTTCACGGTATATGTAGCGCAAGTTTCATCAAATCCTCACGAAACTCGTTTTATGATAGAACTGCTAACTTGATTTAACACATTGTCGTGTCTTGAATATTCTGCGTCGAGTTCGTATTCACCACTTCTACGTGTTAAAGTAACGTAACTTGTACGTAATATGTACATATTTGATGACATATTTTCTACGCAAAATATAGAGATAAGTTGTGTCATTTGTTAACATGTTCACTCTGTGTTAAGTTAAAATAAAGTTACATAAAAATTAGAGTGGATAAATTGGGACGTGTGAAGTATGCAAAATTCAACAAACTTTTTCTACACAAAAGTGCCGAAATTTCTCTCTGACACCCATTTCTCCTCCCCCCTCTCTCTCTCTCTCTCCCCCCCTCTCTCTCTCTCTCAAGATTTCGAGAATATTCACGGTGCTAGTTATTGGGTCACCGTGTATAACACCTAATATTTCGCCGGATTGCGACAAGACTATCGCGAAGCACGTCCCCTGAGAGCCTACTATAACACACCGTGAAACCGCGCGCACATCCGCGTGTGACCCGGGCGACCCGTGTATCTCTCGTCATGTCTCTCCTCCTTCTTTCACCAACAGTCTGTGTCCCTCTTTAGCGCGTTTCGCGGTTGTCTCGCAAAACACTCGACCCGCGCGCGAACACGCGAGCGCTTTAACCATTCCTTCGTTTCATCGCTCCCCATTTTGCTTCATCAGCGACTTCCGTCGTGCATGGCCGCCCTACAAGTAGAACAATTGGCCATGGTTATGCGAGAACGATTCAACTCACCAAAGAATGATCTTTTTAAATTTGCGTTACCAACGAATAGTCTTTCCACGTCTTCCTACGCAAAACAAGAAAGATCCGAGCCTTATAGTCTAAAATTAATTTAAAAACATTTCTTATTTTCCATCAATTGCATCGCTTTTACTAGTTGTCTTTTTCACCTATTTTTTAAACGGTTCAGTTGTCAAGGAACACTCTTGAGAAAAAGCAAACTAATCATGCTTGAACGACTGCGGCGAACCTCTATGTTATCTGTACTTTTCAAACCATGCATGAGGTTTTCGTCTTCAATTTTCTCGAGACGAATTTCGTGTGGGTTAGATCGTTCTTGCATAACTACGGCCAACTGACGAAATTCAATCGCCATTTTCCAATCGAGCTTTCCGAGCGAGCCGATAACGGCGGTGTCGTGGCGAGACACGCGGATGCAGCACGTCCAAAGAAACGGACGGATGACACAACCTGATCGTTAATCATACGATCGACACGATCGCATCGTCGCTCGCGGCGATCTATTAAACGTGGAAGCATATAATCGGCCCGATTCGCGCAGCCGGTTGGGATGCGCGCGATGGGCAGTCTCCGGCGATTAGGATCAGGTGCGAAGTGTGTTAAGCGTCTTTGGAGAGAATGTCCCCGAACGTGCGAACACACGCCTGAGGAGAGGCCGCCCGGGAGCGCACCCCGGGCATTTTGTTATCTGCGGAGAGAAACTCGCATCGCACGAAATCGCATTCGAATCACGCTGATCGCGGATTCGTGCGATAATTAACCCGTTTCGAGCTGACACGCGATAAATGTTAAGCGAAAGAGAGAAGGGAATCGCCTTGGAATACAGATCCCACGGGCAGATATCTCCGTTTGACTTTCTAAAAAGACGCGGAGTTCCGCTCGCGCGACGAACGTCCATATCGCACGCCGATTCTAATTGGACACATTTGGCGTCACGTAAACGCTAGATCGCAGGAATATCTTAATGGCTCCGGAACTGGATCAATCAGTTTTACTTTGTTGCGCGACTCGGGAGTAAAGTGAAGGAAACGTCACGCCTTGGCATGCAGCGCGCTTCGCAGTTTAAAATGCATCGAGCGACAAGAAGAAAGCACATTTTCTCGTAAATCTCGTTGAATAATTAAATGATTTTTGAGACTTTGACCAAAATACTTTCTCACATATTATAAAAGAGCTCTCTTTAATTTATTCTATTTTACTCCGACGCTATTTTGTATTGTAAATAAAAAACGAAATTTCTCTAATTTTACAAATATTGCACTTAGAATATATTCCTTCTAATTTTAGAAGAATTCTCTTGCAGCCATATATAAGAGAATTTTCAGAATTTAAGAGAATTTTAAAGATAAGATTATATATTTTTTAGGTTTAAATTATCTTCGACAAATAACAATTTCTTATATGATAGCACTCTTAAAATGTACTAATAGTAAATTTAAAAAAAAACTCATTACCATGTATTCAAAAGAAGAAAAATTCTCTTTGCAAAAATATCATCCAATTTTATAAAAAAAAAATTTGGCTTTATGTAGTAGTAATAATTAAACTGTATAGTAAGCAAATTAAATTCTTATTTTAATTGAATATTCTGGACTAAAATTAAAAAAAAAACATTTATTTGAATGCAATATATATTGTTCTGTGTGTAAATATTTCAGTTCTTCTATGACTGATGCAATTCAAATTTTTCGATCACGTGATATTAGAGTCAAGTATGTGGAAAAGAAATTTCCGATTTTCGAGACCCCGAGTAAAAATACTTTGTTATATAATAAAAATAAACTTTCCTTAACTAATTAAATTCTATTCTGAGCAACACCATTAAAATCTTTCAACCGCACATGTGTCGCAGTCGGACATGTAGAAGAGGAGAGAAAGCACGAGACAACGGTACTAGCACGACAAGCGCAGAGCCATAGATAAGGATCCGTCTGCATCGTTATTGTGATAGTACGCGAGTACCATCGCAACGGATCGGATGTTCCGTGACGGTGCACGCAAAACAGCGACGCGAGGCGCGACGAGAAGTGCCGACTAGAAGCGCTTACGATCACTCGACAACCGCGAAGCACGGATCCGCAATTAACCCTGCTGTTATTCCGTCCAGAATGCCGTCTCGCGAGAGGGTTGGCCACGTCTCCGCGTGAGAGGCGCTGCGATTTCGAAAGCAGAGCGCGCGGACGCGCGCCAGAATAGTCATTGAAATAACTCCGCTATTACATAAATAATACCACACGTGCACGTGCACGCGTAGGCGCAGTGACGCGCAGCGCGCGCTCGTGTGCGCGCGACAGGCCAGGCACGAAGTTCGCGCATCGGCGCGACCGTCGCCGCGCGATTCAAATCGGCCGCCGCGCGCGGCGTGCGCCAATCGCCGCGCGACGCCACGGTGGTTGTTGTTGCACGCCCGCCAATCGTCCGTGATGCTGCACGTGAGGCGCGTCGCGACATCGGCTCTCCTTGCCGAGACGTCGCCGTTCGTCGTCCAGCTATGCCGTAACGCCAGCGTGCCGACCGATGGAGCGTCCAAACGAACGGTGGGCGACCGCGCCATCAGCCGCGGCGTGGTGTCGCGCGCGGTGATGCGCGAGAATTACCTGCGAATGCTCGACAAGTGCAAGTGTGAGTGTGTTCGCCATTCAACGCGACTGCAGCCATGCCTCGATCGCGTCGTCCTTGTACGTACGTCTGTCTCGCTCGCACCCTCGACGCACGGCCGAACGAGCGACGCGTGCGCGCCGTGCGCTCTCGACCAGTTCGATATCTCGATTGCGCGGCCTTGACAGGCGGCGCATGCGCCCCGCGCTCGATCTATTCGATATCTCGAAGGAGCGACCTTGACACACGCGCACAAGCGCGGTAGTAATTCATCAGGCGCGCCAAGACCGATCTAGCCTTTCGTCTCGGGAGAGACGAAGCCGTTACGCGTATCTTTTCCTTTCTTCCCCCTCTCTCTTTCTTTCTCTCTTTTTCTTTCTCTTTCTCTCATGACAGACTCGCAAATATATAAACTTATGAAATATTTGAAACGAGACACTTACTCGATATAGTATCTTTCTATGTATGCCGGGAATTTCTACAACAGAGTTTTCCATTTGATCCTTATTCTTATCGGGCAAGAGAATTTTCAGTTACATCAACAGAATTGTGCTTTCCGCACAACAATCTAGAAAGGCAACGTCTCTAAAGATACTACATTTTCAGACTTATTTCTGGTGTATCGATCTAACAGTCATAGTGAAGAAGAAATGATGCAGGAATATGTTTCACTGCTTAAGTTTTTCTATGTGTTCCCGGCCTGAATTGAAGTTCTCTGTCTGTCTGTCTCTCATTCTCTCTCCCGCATACGTAGAAAGGTAGGGATGAAATTGAATTAAATAGCAAAGTGAGTTTTTGACGCGGGGTGTTGAGACTTCTTGCGGTTGCATTCTCGGCCGACGGCGACGAGGAGAATTCGTCGCCGACGGAGCCTGGCGCGTCGCCAGCTGTTTCAACACATGCGACAGAAACATTCAGTGTTATGCAACTCATCTTTTCATGTTGTTTGTGTCTCCGAAGGACAGTGGGCACTTGTCCGGCTTCGTCGGCGCGTTTAGCGCGAATAATCTTTCCCTTTGTAAAGCGATCCCTACTTAAAATGATGGATACAAAACGACAAGATTACACTATATTCAGTTTGAATTTCAATGTAAACCAATCATCATCCTATCGATTCCTATCGATTGATCTAAATTGAAATTCAAACTGAATCCATGTAATGTTATCGTTATCTTCATTATTTTAAAGAAGAATTTGAAATGCGAGTGGAACTCTCGGATCCATATGTATTACCATATATATAGGTGCCTGGTTATATCTAAGTAATTAATGAACGTACACTATCATTTATAAGTTCGTGGAACGCGGTAAGAATTGCAGGAAGCAATGGAGAATGTTGCCAGAGGAAACAATTTCATGCAGATTCCTATTTAAATCCTGTCGCGAGAAATGCACAAGAAACGTACAACCTCTGAAAGTTTAATTTTAAAGGCCATATCTCTGCCAAATTAGCTGCGTTGGCAAATGTATCAGTCTTATTATCTTATCGTTATATTCAGGAGGCCCGAGATAATGACGTGCTAAGCCATACTGTGCAAAACTTTCGAGCAAGCACAATAAATCGGACATATAAATTGTTAATCTAATATCTCTTCCCGCGACTTTCACTTTATCTGATATTTGTTCGTCCTAATTAATCAATTCACTACGGCGCCGAAAAGCGGCGTAAAAGGAGCGTGGACAGATCAGATTTAGATCGAGATTAGTCTTTCTCTCTTTCTCTCTCTCTTTCCCTTTTGCTCTCCCTTTCTCTCTCTCTCTCTCTCTCTCTCTCTCTCTCTCTCTCTCTCTCTCTCTCTCTCTCT